TTTTTTTTTTTTTTTTTTTTTTCCTAAGCATAAGAAAAGGCTTAGGAATGAGTCTGTCCTTGACGGCAGAGAGGACACACATAGTAAAGATGAGGTGGATTGGCACATGGAAGACCGAGCTGAGCATTCTCATCACAACGATTGCCACAACGGCTGGCACTGAGCATGCCCAACATACGCTGCCGACAAATGGCATGTCGATTGCAGGCCAGAATAAGGAAGAACACTCACCACAAAAGACCATGCATTCAGTCTAGCACCCAGGGCCACAAAACGGACACAGTGTGTCTGGATGTGGAGGGTGCCTGCAGTCAGGTGCCTCCAGTCAGGAATGGAGGGACAGTCCTCTACACACATAGATGCAGAAACCATGTTATTATAGCGATTGTGACAGAAGCGATGGCGGCTACAGCCGAGTGTAGCAGTGTCTGTAGCAGTGCAAAGAAGAAGGTCGCACAGAGTGTGGGTACACTCAGTCGTGCTGCAGCACGGGCCCAGAGGAATGATCTTCGACATAAAAGAGATTGTGGACAGTTTAGTGTGGCAAGAAAACAGCATCATTATGTAAAACACTAGATCAGGGAGATCATGAGGAATTCCCTACAGATGTTTTCTGATAAGTTTCATATTCAAATTGTATCATGGGACGCTGGACCTGTTTTCCGGCAGGTGACGCTCCCCACCAATAGATGGAGCCGCTCTCCGGGTATTAGAGGTGTCTGCTCTTATCAGCACCTCTCTAAAAAAAAAAAAAAAAAACTGTAACATCAGTCATGGCATGGACCATGATGCCATTGTCCCATAACTCCCAGTGGATAAATATAAGTTTTTTCAATCGAAGGGAAAAAGGTAGAGAGGAAAGCAGCAAGTGCCCAAACTCACCGTAGCCTGCTCCACAAAATCACATACCAGGCACAGAACCAAACATTCAGGCACACACGGATGAAGGACAAAAGGCAACATCCTTAACAATTACCTTGCATCATTTTTTGCATGGACCACAAAAAATAAGTGCACCGCAGCATAGAAGGTACTACCACCAAGAAAGCACCGACCAGAATCTCCAATGCGCCGAAAAAATTGGAAGGGAGTTCAAGAGTCCTTTGGAGTCGGCCCACAATGCCACAAAATAGCTCCACAGAATCTCCATGCGACACCAGGAGCACTACCGCTTGAAACACCATAAAAGTCCCCCATCTTGTCCATGTGCTCCAAAAGAGCAGCCCATGAGAGTGACACCCACAGCAAAGATTCTCTGAGCCTCCTCACAAAGATACCGTGGCCATGACTCCGAACAAACATTCCCGCCCGAAACAGCTGGCGTGTGTGTGTGTGTGAGAGAGAGAGAGAGGGAGAGAGAGAGAGAGAGGTCATGGCTCCAAACAAACATTCCCGCCCGAAAAAGGTGGCGTGTGTGTGTGTGTGTGTGTGTGTGTGTGTGTGTGTGTGTGTGTGAGAGAGAGAGAGAGAGAGAGA